ATGTCAACGATCAAAAATGCATAGGCAGGTAGCCATACGTATCCGCACATTTGCTACGCCTGAGCTCATTTCGATCATGTTCACATTGACATTGTAGGACCATTACTACCATCGCATGAATTGATCCACATACTCACGTGCATAGATCGTTTCACAAGATGTCTCAAAGCTATTCCCATCACTTCTATTACGGCGGAAAACAGTTGCTCACCGCTTCGTAGAACGATGGATAGCGCGTTACGGTTGTCCCGCGAATGTCACAACTGACCGAGGGCAATAGTTTTTGAGTCCGAATTATTCTCTTCGCTAATCCAGTTGCTTGGTACGGAACACATACGCAACTACCGCCTATCACCCAGCTTTCGAATGGTTTTAGTCGAACGGTTTAAAGTGCTCTTCAAGTACACGAAAACAAACAAACTGGTGCGAAAATCTTACCGCTCGTGCTCATAGGTATCAGAACGAGTTTAAAGGCAGATATTCGACGTTTCGCCGCTGAATTGGTATACAGCACTATGTTGCGTCTGCCTGGCAAATTTTTCACACCAAGGAGCAGTGATAACTTCAATAAACCAGACTACATCCAACGACTGTCTGAATTTATGCAAGCACTGCCTCCGGTGTCAACTCGAGTACAACGTCAACAGGTCGCTCTCCCTCGGGAATCATCTACCTGTTCGCATGTTTTCCATTAGGTAGGCAAAACCTATGCAACAAGCTTATGAAGGACCACTTCACGTGATTTCTCGTCAGCAAAAGACCTTCAAGGTTGCTCGACATGACCGCGTCGAGTTAGTCAGCATTGATCGTCTCAAGCAAGCATATGTCGATGACAGTGCCCTACTTGCTAATCCCAGACCCAGTGCTATACTTATCAAAAACTACTAGTGGGATTCTCAAGGCTACTTTGGATCCCACGCTAGACAAATCAGAGACCTCATTCTCGCCTCCCAGTTAACGGCACGCGTCATCTGCACTATCTACGGAAGAGACCTCCAGTCTCACTTCCAGATCAGCAGACCACGCCTCTCTTGACTTCGGATGAGATTGACGGCTCATAAGGCACGGACGAGACTACCGTCTCGCGTTTCGGTCGCTGCATATGTCTACCTGTATGTTTTTCTTGAATAACCACTCAGGCAACAACGGATACATGATGGTGCACTATCCTCGTACTACATATATGTTACATGTTTCTCCCTTTTTCTCATTTTCATCCTGAGCCCATGCCTGCGATCATCGCCCTTCCTGCAATAGTGTCGAAGAATCCTCCACAGTGTTTTCCTGTCCATGCTATTGAATTCTTTTTGTTTGTCGGAACAGATGCTTTACTTCACTTTCCTGTTTTCGTCTGTGTATTCAGCTTTTGTCTTGACTTCCTATTCTCTTGTTCAAGAGTACCAACAGAGATCCATTCCTAGTGATGGTGTTTCTTGTGATCCAGAACCTTCTTATATGTTGAGGAAATTGCCTCTTCGACCCCTTTGCAATTGTTCTCCAAAGTGGTTTCCTCTCCATTGAGTATATCGTGCAAGGCCTGGAACCTATTGGAGAGGGCTATCTTGAATTCGTTGAGTTTCACGGTATCCCAAAGAAAGGCCGTATTAAACTTGTGAGATGTTGTCTTTCCCGTTGTCCAGTTCTTCTTTAGTTTCAGTATCATTTTGGCGACCAGCAAGTGGTGATCTGAAGCTATATCAGCTCCTCTGTTGGTTCTCACATCCTCCAATGTCCTTCTGAACTTTTTGTTGATACAGATATGGTCGATTTGGTTCTGAGTAATGTGGTCCGATGAAATCCATGTAGCTTTGCGTATGCGCTTGCGTGGGAATATTGTGCTGCCGATGACTAGTTTGTTGAAGGCACATAAGTTTGCAAATCTCTCATCATTTTCTTTCCTTTGTCCCAGTCCATGTCGTCCATGGTGTCCTCATATCCAGACCTTGGCATTTAGGTCTCCCATTAAAATCGTCCAATTCTTTGGTGAGCACCTTTCGACAATTGAATACAGCTATTCGTAGAATTGGTCTTTATCGTCGTCAATGTAGTCGTTTGTAGGTGCATAGCATTGGATGACGTTCATTGTAATGTCCTCTTTCTTTGTTTTGATGGATGCCTTGATGATCCTGGGTACATGAGATTCTCATCCTATCAATGCCTTTTGTGCATGTTTGGAAAGAATCAGTGCAACTCCGTGTGTATGTGAAGCATTTTCCTCTTCATGACCAGAGTATAACAGCAGTTCCCCTGAAGCTAGTCTCAGTTGTCCTACTTGTGTCCAATGCGTTTCACTGATGCCGAGCACCTCGAGGTTGTATCTTTTCATTTGTGCCGCAACTTGAAATAGTCTTCCAGTCTCCCACAATGTACGAACGTTACATGTACCTAAAAAATGGTTTCTCTCGTGTTCAGAAGAGGCATCGGCCCCGTGAATTCCGATGGAACTCGGATTTCATCACGCGACGTCATAATTCTTCTTCCAACTCCCAGGGCAGAGTTAAAATGGTTTGATTTATTTGTTCTGGTTAGCGTTTTTTTGGCAAGTTAGTTTTTTGGTGGTATGGGGTCGCCAGCCCCTCCTCCTTTATCCGGGCTTGGGACCGGCAGTAGCCCCGAAGATTCTACCGGCTGAGTTGTGAAACTTCATCTTTTGACTTATTCCTTGGTGCCCGTCCGCAGTAGCATCCATCCTCGGATTTCTGAGCCAGTTCTGTGGAAACTGGCCTCAGAAGGTTTTTCAGTTGTGGGGTGTAATGTTGAGTCCATTTTGAAGGCTTTGTTTTGGGAAAATCCCTTCATGTACATATTCGTAATATGATCTTACTGACTCTTACTGTGCTACATTTTGATGGTATGTTTAATTCCATTTTGGGATGTTAATATTTGTATTTTGTTAAACTTTCTATTTTTTGTACCTTTATCGGACTTTATCTGCTTCCTACTAAACTGTATTATGTTGTTTAAGTTGACACTTAATTATGGCTACAGCCATATCGGATTTGATACCTTGGCGGGGAGGGCATGCATCTGGACTGGAAAGGTGCAATTTTGGACCTATACGGAAGCATTCTTCCAGAATTGGAAACACATTGTGCTAAACTGGAGGTAGAACAGTGTAATATTGTTTAGGTAATTATCTGTATCTTTTGATTAATAATAGAACCGTTTCTTACCCAAATAAATTGCTTTTTATTTGGACTAACTGGGCAAGGCGCGTATCTAAACTTCTAGAACTGTTTTTCCGAAATCAGAATTCACTCCGAATTTTACATGTAATACTAACTGAAGTGGAAAATGTCCGCGAAACGAGTAATAATAACAAGATAAGCTGGGTGAACCATCGAACTGCGATAATATAAACGATGTATATGTAGTCACATATAGTCCTACCGCTGATCCAATGATAGCTGTTTCAAAAACATTCCCTATTCAAAGTTATGATGAAGTCAAAACAATACAATATCGTTTAAATGCATACGAAATTTTTCCACTGTAGGAGGACTAAGAAACAGAAAGTCCTAATACTGAAAGCACGAGTCAAGAATCAAATGAAGCCCTTAAAAGCCCTACACGGATATAAAGATAAGCTTCAGGCAAAGGAAATTTATGGTTCGCATCTTGTCTGTGCACGAATCTTCATTATCGGAAAATATAAAGATCAACACAAGTTCATCGAATAAAACTGATATGCATGCAGCTATTACGATTCACCTTACTCGGTAACGGAGCGAAGATCAGTGATTGAGCTACCCGACAGGCTACTCTAATTCGACCGTCCCAGGCCTCACTAACTAGAGGAAGAAGCCTTGATAAGACGTAGGGAAAGGTATTCCACAGGCGACCAGAACGCACGAGGTCGACAAGCACACAACTCCAACTCATTTATACATGATAAAACGCCCTTGGGAGAGTTGCAAAATAGCAAACTACAATAATCCATCAGCCAATGACAGTCAAGGATCTCCCGAGTGGGAAATGCAAGCTGAAGGTTAACTAAGCGCCTTTGGTGCGAAAACTTAAAAATTTCAGAATAAATTGCAAAATTAGGACCTGTTCCAAGTGAGTTCTGGGCAGCTAACATCCCCAACAAAATCTCAAGATTGTTTGGAGATAAATGATTCAAATGAATCAATTCCACGTAATATCATTTGAGATGCTCGTTGTCCTTATGTATCAATAACCTCAAATAAATTTGAAAAATTTTCAAAGGAAGCGAACTCTGATGAAATCCCTAATGATGTCGTGTCAGATGTTATTTGTCCTCATATTGTAATTTTCCTTTGTGTGAACATTGGGTGCACAAGTTCTCAATGAGTTCAAATCTAATTGCAGTCCCAATGATCCCATATCAAAAGCTATTTATTCCCACAAAGTTGTTACTTTTAGTGAATTCTCTAATCAGTATGATTTGTTTAAATGACTGAACAAGATCTTGTGGGTGGACAGAAATGACCATTTATACTGTTGAAAATGTTGTCAACGTAGTTTATCAACAAATTTCAAACTGTATTACTCAGTCAGTACTTTAGCATCCACTGCGTAATCTAGTTGCTTTGATCATCATATTCAAAACAGTCATAACTGTTACTTTCTACGTAACATTTGTTGAGTTTAGAGACTAATTATTATACTGAGATATAGCATACTCGGTTGATTCACAACAATCACCCGGCTTATTTAAAAAAAATTACACTGTATAACATTGCTTTGAATGAATAGACAAGAGTAAATCTTACGATACTGAGACAGAATCCCGGTTTCTAGCCAGCTAGCACTCACTTAAGGTGGTCAGAAGACTGTACACTTTATCAGCATAATCAACAAACAGAACTATGTCATCTGCTCATTAAATATTTCAAGTTAACAAGTAATTCTATTATGAAAAGAAAACGTGTAAACAATCTGAAATGCATCAAAGGACCATATCACCTTCAATTAATATGATCAAACGTACTTATTCGATATTTTGTTCAAAACGTAAAAAAAAATCGAAATTTGCCTGCGCGTTAATTATCCGACCAAAACACATTGAACATTAAATAACCTTTAAAATCAGTTTGACACAAAATTTGACAACATTGAAAAATTATATTTTGAAATAAAAAGAAACTGAATCAATTCAATATTCAATTTTCAATTGTACAAACTGCATAGAATACAAAAAAAGTGTGATTTGTAGCTGAACAAAAAAAAACAAAACAGCTAAATTACAAAGTTTACTCGTTTGAAAGTATATGTTCACACATTCAATGTTTCAATGAGAAATAATAATAAAAAAAAACCAACAACACATCATATTGATTGTGAATATAGATATATATCATCATTTAAAAAATAATTAGATATTATTAGGAAAGCAGTAATTTAATGTGAATTATGTAACATATCTAATGCGCGCAATTCATTATACAAGATGATGTTGATGATGATGATGAAAAATGGATTTCAATCTTTGAATAAATTTCTTTTTTTTATTCGAAATAATAAATAACAAATATGTAAAGCTATTGTTTTTTTGTTTTATAAAACAAATAAATAAAATACAATGATTGAAACATAGAAAAAGAGAAATGAAGAAGATTTTACAAAGTACAATTTGTCAAGTTCATGTTTTTTTTGTTTTTGTTTTAAGTGAATGAAAAGCGAATGGAAAATACACTTGTTAATAGTTATGAAATTGAATATAGTTTGTCTTTTATACAACAACCAAAGTTGAAATGGATTTAGAATGAATGAAAATAGGAGACGAACTAGTCAATTGATAAATATATATAAACACAAATCAGTCAGCTTTCAAAAAAAATAGTTTATAATCTGATCTTTTTGTTTTTGGATAACATTGAAGCTTTATATGAATGAATTACATAAGTAAGATATTTTACGATGTATTTTGTTCCAGTTCATCATTGAATAATACACGTTGACTTAATAAAGGTGAAAATTTGAATGAATTATTTCGAAGTAAATTAGACGACTCCACAAATACAGGTGATGAAGGATAGACTGGTGGTAAATCGAACGGGCAACAACGTACTGCTACACTCATTGCTCCAACAGCTGGTCTAGATAATGCATGACCATTCATTAGTGAAGATAAATGTGATGAGTATCCTTGTGATAATGGCTTAAATAATAGAAATAGAAGGAAAAAATACATATATGGTCTAATAAATCAACCAATCCTTTCTTTTTATGACATCAATAAACCCAGGTACACGGTCTAACCCAAAAAACCAAGTAAACAGAGATATAAAGATTGTTAGTTGTGAGTAGAGTTAGACTCAAAGAAAATTTAAGAAATGTTGAGGGCCGATCATAGAGTTGACAAGCTGAATAGAATAGATGCTTTTAGACAATTTAAACGTCACTTATGTGACAAAATTTCCATTCAGATTCAACCATAAATGACAGAGGGCTACCTAGGTTTTATTGATTGTTAGAATCGGGATTCAGATATTCTTAGATTATAAGACGCTGTAGACACCTAAGCCATATAGACTTTTGGGTCGTATATAGGGTTGGCTGACCAACAATGACTCATTTTCAGTCACTCAGTCAGCTACGACGTGAAACTTCGTACTTATGTATACCAGTCCAGACTGCCATACCACATCAAAACTGAGACGAAATTGTCAGTTCAATTTCATAATAGTAGAAGACAGAGAATAGACGGATCTGTGCCAGTGCAAACGATTTTAAAAACATATCCCGACTGATGAAGTCTTCCTACTTCATCAACTGATGTGCTATCCTTACCTAGTACCCTATTCCTAAACCGCAGCATTGCTTACTCGATTGCCCCAGGATATACGAGCAATGCTTTGAAGATACCTATAATCGGATATTAATAACCTACAAATATTCTCAACTCCTACTGGTCATGTTTCGCATCCATATAGTAGGACAGAGCAAACTGCTGTGCAGTACACTCGTCCTTTGGTTAGTAGACGGATATCTCTTCTACGCTGGCAAAAGCCAGTCGAGCCTTCTGTATTCTTGCCGAGACTCATTTTATTGCACAATGTGCTTGACTATTCCTAAAGTATTATAATTTTATTTCGAGTGGTGCTTGCACTCAAGAAAGACTTAGACAGGGATCTATCCACAGTTGTTTTTAATTAATATTTTTAGGAACGATTGCACTTTAGACTAAAAATCCAAATATACTAAACAAGAACTTCTTCCTATACCGAACTGGTAAGCTAAACTAAAAGTAATCTCTTCCTTCAGATTTTTAGTATGCGCAAAGGATAGTTGATTAGTTTAAAAGAAATCATATACACCTGTAATTCAAGAAACAATTGAGTGTATATAAGACGAGTGACTTATCACAAAAATCACAAATACATATAACTTTGAACAAAAATAAGTACAAAGACATAAAACAATTAAAAATTTATAAACTGACTTACAGTTCCATTTGAGGCTTGTGATCTAGAGACTTTACCAACTAGGAATATGTTATGGGTTGATAAGCCAAGAGAACGATATAAATTGATATCTTTACCTGAACCATAACCGCAGTGAACTCGTAAGTTGGCCTATAATACAGCAGGAAAAATGAATAATGCGTAAACAATATCATAAATGATAATTAACTTCTATTAGATTGAAAAGGATAACTTGAAACAAAAGGTATGGTAGTACATTCTCTTTGTCGTTTATAAGAAATTGAAGGGAGAGGGGATTGGTAATTAGCATTCAACTAAAATAATTCTGTCTGGTGACCTTATAGAGTTACTTCCTGTCGTACTCCTGAATAAAGGAGGGTTTGGCATAGGATTAGCAACCCTATCTCGTGGGAAGCGAACTTGCAGAAAAAAACACTAACCAAGACAAATAACCCAAACCATTTGAAATCTGCCCTGGGGGTTGGAAGCTTATGACGCCTTACAAAGAAGGCCGGATTTCTTCAGAAGTCACAAGGCCGATGAACTTTCTCACAACTATCAATCTAGGTAAATGGAATGCTTGTGAAATGTGGGAGACTGGGAAAATCATTTAAGTTGCTGAAAAAGTGTAAAGATACAATCTGGTGGTGCCTGGAATAAGTGAAACACATTGGATACGCCTAAACAACAAATTTAGCTTCAAAGGAGATGCTGTTGTACTCTGGCCATGAAGAAGAAGACGTCTCGCATACACGAGTTGCATCGATGCTATTCAAAAAAAGCAAAAAAATCACTTATAGGATTCAAATTCTATGGACACAGGATCATCAAAGAATCTTTCAAGACAAAGAATGGAGGGATCACAATGAATGTCATTTAGTTCTTTGTGCCCACCAACGATAACAATGAACATGACAACTTCAGCACTCAAAAAAAGCCAACCAAGAGAAGAGAAAGTCAAGCATACTCTGAATACCCAGATGCAAATATGCAAATGAAAATAGGAATTAGAAACGATAGACGTAAATATATGGAAGATTTTCTGTGATAGCAGAAAAAGCTACAATAGAAGGAAACAATGAAGAATCTCGCTGGAAAAAATCGTAAACTAGAACGACCAATCACGAACAAGGAAGAATCGCTATAATATGGATAATCGTAGACCGATCGATTGGTTGGAATTCACCACTCTGCATCAACTTTATTGACTACAGAAAAGTACTTAATACTGTGAACAGGATGACACTACAGACTTCAACACTATGGTATTCCTGAGAAGATAGTCAACATCAAACGGAATTCTTATGATGGATTAAACTGCGAAATTGTGCACAGAGGACAGCTCACGGACTCAATTCAAGTGAAGACCGGTGTCAGATAAGGTTACTTATTCTCAACTGTTCTCTTTCTCCTGGTGATCGACTGCATTAGGAAGACCAAATCTCCCTCTTTCTCTCTCGACGAGTTATAAAATAGTGATGATGATTATTAAGCAGAGAACAAAACGAGAAATTAGTAGTATTTCAAATAATCCATGCAAAAATACAAAACAACAACACAAAAACTATAAAAAATGCATTACATTTTCAATAATTGATTTTAACATTTGAGCTTTTTGTTTCAATGGATCTGAGTATAATCCATTTAAGAAGAATGTCATACCAAAAGGAAAATTATGATTTGCCATCCAATTTGTTACCCGACGCCTTTGCATATCTGGTCGTGCAGATAAATAGATTAATAAATAACCTAAACCTTGCCAATGACGAGCAACATCTACAGCACCAGGATGAACTTTTGGATCCTATAAATAAAATATAAAATGAAAGAATCTTAATATGATACAAAAAAAGAGATTCAGCGAAAGTCAATCGAATTAGGAGTTGAATGCTTGAAATTACTAAAATAAGTTGAACACAGTCAGCATGATTGGATTGTATATAATTGACTCAAAAACTAAAGAAAAAAAGGTGTTTTATTACAAATAATCGTGATATTTCTGTTGATGGTAGTAAGCTCTTGGAAACAACCAGGCCTTCTCTTGATTTGAGTACTTTTGGAATTGATACCGTAGTAGTACATGTTGCCGATAATGAACAAAATTGATAGAAGGGAGCGATTATTTAGATCAAAGAGCATACGTACTTGTAACTCCATCACAGTACTAACATGTATCATATCACAACAGTTAGTTCAATAAATTTAATTTTAAAAGTGATTAGAATATTACGTATTCGAAGTGTTAACTAGTGTGGTTGTGTTGGGGACGTTAGATCCCCAGAACTCACTTGGAAATGGTTCTAATTTCGGATTTTTTTATGTTTTCGCGCATGGGCTGATCAGTTGACCTTCAGCTAACATTTCCCCTTGGAAAATTCATGACTGTCATTGAGAGATGGATTATTTTACTACGCTATTTTTGTGGATCTCTCAAGGATATTTCTATCATGTATAAATAAAGTCGATTTCTGTGCTTATCAACCTCGTATTTTCTGGGTGCTTGTAAAATACACTTTCTGCGTCTTGTCAAGACTTTTTCCTCTACTTAGTGGGGCCTTGGGACACTCGGATTATAGAAGTTTATAGTGTCACTACATCCTTGCTTCGCTCTCGTTTACCGACTAAGGTGAACTCGTAATAGTTTCAGAGATATCAGGTTAGTACGATAATGTTAGAATAAATCAAATTATTCGACTAACCGAAGTGAAGAAGAGAAAATGAGTTTGAGAAGACAGTCTAGCTTAGCAAAACAACAATATCACAAATGGATAAGATCAAGAGAGTAGTAAAATTATCCATTCAACTAAAACGAAGCTATGTTATGAACATAATAGTAGTTAGTTAGAGAGACATATGCAACTTAGAAACCATTACATATATGCATTAGTTCAAGTTACCACATTATATAAGTAAGACACGATAAAATTAGCAAGATATGTTAGAATAGTTGAAGTGATAACAGTAATACTGACAGAAGTACAAAGGAGTAAGTACAAATAATATGATAACTATACATATATCTATTGATTACAACAATAACGGTTGTGATCATGCAAATGAATGATGTTATTATCTACTGATCAAGTTTCACATTCAAAATAAAAACGACAAGAATAGTTGGTTTTTGATAATCTTAATATAAAGCGATCATCACAAAACAAGAAAGAAGATATTCATCCATAAGGTAGTTTGATAATGATCTTTCAATAACTTTTATATGGTATTGGTATCAATTAGATTAGATTTTTTAAAATTTTATGTGACAATTACTTTAAAAAAACTGATAGAAATAAGAAATAAGTATGAAACAGTTAACAAACTTACTTTGCCCATTAATGATAAACTTGCTGCAAAACTTCCATCTACACTGAATACCACTACTTCCGTTTGAGCAGGTACTATAGCTAATGTGATAATTACTGGATGTTCCAGATCAGATTCAGCGGTCATTCTAATAGGATATAATCCATCTGGGAGATGAAGTTGTTCCGGTAAGAAGAATCTAATTCGACCGGATGAATCAGTTACTTCGGTGCATACATATGCCCAAGATCCACTGATTGACTGGATTTCAACTCGGATCTTTTAAATTAAACACAAAATTATCTAATGTAGTCGATATAAAATTGTAAATAAACTCTTGAAAATGAATCATTTTTTTTACTGAAAGACGTGTTAATTAATATAACCTAATTATTCAGTGACTGGTAGTGATGAATACAAAAATCAAACTTAGTAAAGCATTGAGTGAAAATTAAATAATATTTAAGTCAGACAGTCAGTCAATCAGTGAATGCACGTGCGCCATTGAAAACGATTCTGAGCCATGTCGTTCAAGGTCTCTAACCATACGTTACTTTCGTCTCTCGGACTCCAACCAGGTAGCCAACAACCATCAACATGACTGAGTCCACTTGTCAGTGACTTCATGGATTTCTGCCACGTTTCAGTTCGGCAGCCCCTAGCTTTCTTCCAACCTATTCCTACACTATAAAACAAAGCTCTTAGAGGCAGTCGGTGGTTGGGCATTCATAACACATGTCCCGACCACCTCAAATGGTGAAGTTACAATGAACTAGGACTATTATACAGTGTATTTTCAATAATGATACTTTTCGTAATATAAATTAAAACAAGACTACTTTACAGACTAATCGAAAATGTATCCAATAAAAATGCTAAATAATCACGTGATTACAATTTACGCATAAGAAAATAAGATAGGTTGTGTAATTTACAAGAATAATCAGATATATTTCACGTCTATCGGTTGATTTTTTTTATTAATCAACCTATCCAAGACAGTCTAAAAATTACAACTAACTGGCGATAGCAGTCAATATGCACTAGATTGACAAGTGCCAAAATGGACTGAATCATAATAATTAAGTCAGTCAATCAGTCAATCAGTCAGGTACAACGTAGAACCTCGTACATAAGTACATCAGTTCAAATGCCAAACTACATTAGCACACAGACGCAGTTGTCAGTTCGAATCCCATGGTGGTACAGATAGTAGAAGTATCACTGGTAACGGGGAAGATTAGGGTTCGAATATATTATTCAACAAGTATAATTCAGTGGGATAAGTTTAGAGAGAGAAAGGTAGAAGTGATGACGGGTTCGGAAGATTAGAATTTCATAGAAAACAAAGAATGGATGCACCTGCGCCATTGTAAACGATTTTGAGCCCTGTCGTTCAAGGTCTCTAACCATCGGTTACTAAGGGATGAACATATTTGAAGGGTTCATTCTAGCTATGTTTTATAAAGTTAGGAAAGACACTTTTGATGTAGTTGTACATAATAAAAATACTTGGGTGGTCAGTCTAATAATCAGTTAGAAATGATCAAGTCTATCAGCCTATAAAGAAGGATTGAGATTGAATGATTATTCTATGGACGCTTGTTTCAACACAATATATGATATAGATAATAAAAGTCAGTCTGAAATAATAACAAAAGATATATATATATATATATATATATATATATATATATATATATATATATATATATATATATATATATATATATATATATATATAGCAAATATATGTATGTGTTGTAAATTACTTTTTCAGCAGAAAAACTCATTAAATCCAATCCACCAAAAGCAAATCGACCAGTAATAAGTGGTGTTGATCCAGTTGTAGCAATCACATCATTTGCTCGATGATTTGCTTTGAAATTCTAAGCGGGAAAAATAAAAATAAATGAATTTTGAGCAAAAAAAAGCGTCCTAGAAGATAATAACACCCTTGATAATCATAGGTGAATAATTAAAACAAAAGTGATAGTTAGTTTACAAAATAAACAGAGAGGAGGTGCATGGATTATGAACAAGAAATTTGGATAGACAGAGAGAATGCGATGACTATCATGATACATACAGTATAGGATTACAAAAACGAAATTAGTTCAATTAATTACCAGGGCTAGTTTATAAATAGTGACAACACCCGTGTACAGTAAGTAAAACTACTGATACCATAAACACTACAATTATTACATGATTTGAGATAACAATTTGGAGAAGATATGAAAGAGAAATCAATAAAAGAGAATAGATCAATATTTCATGCTTCTTCATGGTTAATACACAAAAGTTGTATATACGATTAAAAAGACAATTATCATTATTTTAATATTAAAAAAAACCAAGAATTTTTGTAATAAATAATTCAGGTGCATGAACAGATTTCAATTATCTTTGACTTAGGGGTTAGTGTTAAGTGATAGTAACATGAACTCGGTCAGTCAGTTATAACACAAAACTTCACACATACTTACTTACGCCTGTTACCCCCAATGGAGCATAGGCCGCGCACCATAGGCTGCGCACTTCACACATAGGTACATAAACTCAGGTTGCCGTACCGAATTAGCACAGAGACACAATTATCATTTCAAGTCCTATAATGGTAGCGATAGTAGAAGTATTAGTAGTAATGGAGAAGATTAGGGTTCGAAGATATTATTCAACAAACAAGTATAATTCAGTGAGAAAAGTTTAGAAAGATAGAGAGGTGATGAGGAATTCAGAAGGTTAGGATTTAAGAGAACACAACCAGTGGATACACATGCGCCATTGCAAACGATATTGAGTCATGTTGTTCAAAGTCTCTAACCATGAACTACTTAGTTCTTGATATTGGTTGTAGTTATTAACATAGAGTTAAAGTGAATCGGTAGTAGAATATTGTTATAGTGTATCCTAATTCATTCAATCAATATACCTGAATACAATCATCATATGAACGAGCTTAATGGTGAGATCTGTCTGATTGGGGAAGAAAAAGAACAGTTGAACAAAGACGAAAACGTGTACTAAGGATAGTCTTTCAAAATTACGTGCAAAAGAACCTTTTTGATTTAGTTTAAACTTCAAGTTACATAAAAACAAGTATACATTAGTTCGTTAACTGTAAAGGAGCACCAATATGTATATGTAACACATCTACACAAATTCAAAAAACACCCTATCGAATAGATAACTATATTCTAAAAAAAACAAATTTTTTATGATTGTCTATTTTCACACAATAGAAGAGTTAAGTTTATTAGAAAACGTAAGCTTTTCTTCTTCTTCAAAAGACCACTACTAATGATACGACATAATTAGCAAAGATAGATTTAACCAAAAAAGTTAAAAATTCAGTCTAGTAAAATTACCTAATGAAAATATTAAAATTATATTTTTTATTCAACTGACTTGGAAAAGAAATATTACGCAATCATAATTACGAAATACTCTTTATATACAATGGAAGACTGATGGATCGTTATGTATCATGATATTCCCGTAATCGGTCAATGTTATGAGTTAATTAAATAATTTTTATTTCATTTTATTTCAAAACTTAAATAACGATGCAAAGGGGCATCTAAATATTTATGCACCATCCAAATTATTCCGTTTGTGAGTGGACTGGGACACTTCGCGGGTGCTCAAACTGAAGCAGACTCCTAAGGAGGCCATTCTCCGAACCTTTGGACCGAACGTTTATTCCACAACGCAGTGGGGCAACGTTAGGTGATGCAGTCCCATGGTGACCGATGACCAAAGTAGGTTTATACGTAATTCGTTCCGCTCGGACCCTAGAGCTTATGTGTATCACTGGTTTGGAATCAATGTTCTCTAACCCATAATAGCACACGAGACCGAATTGATCACAAGATGTTTTCTAACTACCCTAGATGAATTCTACGTACCTACTAACCTGGTCAAATCGCCAAGCACTCACCTTTTGTCCTATCAATTTCGTTGACAAGATCTCTGCTACGAGAAGACAGTGGGTAAATGAATTGGATGGACAATAATTATGAACCGGTCGTATTGAAACATTTAAGTGAATGCACTCTACTTCTGACATTCACTCAATGCAGACTTGATAAATGTAACTGATGAAAACACTCCACTAAGATCAGATTATTCTAAACTTTAAACATAAACGAAATTTAGGCAGGGTGTGAGGTAGTTACCCACCGAAGACAATGGATGATGGTCACATAATATTGTGGACTGATTAAGTTATATAATAACATAGTTGACTGTAGACTCAGAAGCCAAATTGTTAGGAGTTCGTACACAAGACTAAAGGTCCTATGTTAGATTCTCGCTTGCGGAGTCATCGATGTGCATTGCTGATTAGTCCAGACTAGTAAAAAACGGCCGTCCAGTGCTTCCAGGTTTTTAATGGTGATTTACCAATTGAAAAAACAAAAACAAATTTACATCTAAAATTCCTGAATGTAATCAATTAAGCTTACATTTTACATGATACAACACAATACATAGTAAATGATGAATAAGTCATCAATTCCAAATTAAGATTACAATCAAATAATCAGTTATGTTATTAACTTTATAATTATTCAATACCAACAATATTGGTGAGTTGAGTCAAAAAAACAAAGAAGACAGATGATCGAATGTATTAAAACCTATTTAATTATAGCAACTTGGCGACAATTCAAAAATATTCAAGTTCACGTGATATACATGAGAATTAGTAAAGATTTAATTTGACTGTACAGATTTGAGTAAGTCAAACAAAAAAATGTCAACAACAACAACCAAAAAACTCACTAATTGTTGCATTTTATAGAAAAATCTTTACCACTTAGTAGAACTGAGGTTCGACATGTACATCAGATGATGCCGGCTCCGTGGTTTAATGTTTAAGTAATTGCAAACGAAACCAAAAGTCATGCGTTCAATTCCCAACAAAAGGTCAAGCCTGATCAATTTTAAGAAGTACCAAACAGAGAGAATATAGCTGTCCAGTGTTTTTGTTTTAGTTTTCAACGTTTGTTTAATTAAGGTCGTTTTGTGATATCTTAGATTGATCAGAGTTGAACATTAGCACCGTTGGATGCCTGACCTGTGGTTCAGAGATTAGGCGTTCGTGCGCAAGTTCGAACGTTTTGGGTTCGAAATCCGCGAACAGCAAAAGACATGGATGAGCACTACTGATGAGTCCCGCACCAGGACGAAACAACCGTACTGTGCATTCAGGTTTCTAATGGTGATCTAACAATGATTCATTCGTGATTTAAAGCTACGTCAATAATATTCAATAATTTCCACAAACCCTTCATACCAAAAATGAAGATAAATGTTGATAATTCAGAATATAAGTCTAACAAAAAAAAATTTAGAAATCGAATACTCAGAGTAACCACCTAAAATGTTATAAATTACCAAAGAAATTTATTAATATTGAAGTTTATGGTTTGTTGGTTTAACAAACGACACAAAGGTATTAATTATACAATAAAAAGCGGGTAGTTATGTGCAACAAGACACTGGGAAGGAACTTTTACAACAATAAGGAATTAAAACGAGTACAACGTGAGTGAAATTTGTACCACAGTAATTTGTGACAACGTAGCAAAAAGATGGACAGAGACAGTTAAGCAATATCACACACACACGATTAAATCTGAAAATCTCCTTTTCCCCAGAAAAAAAAAAGAATGTTTGAACCGCTTACCACATGATAAGGAATACAAGTAGACTAAGATTAATAGAGATAGAAAAAAATGTTAGTCATTTGGTAATTGAAATGAAATAAGAATCGATTCCTATGAAAAGAATATGATACAATTACTAATAAGTAAATAAAAAGCGAGTAATTCCCTTTGGAGATACGATTTAGATATAATCTATTTGTGAGTACACATTAATGTACTCACCTTTGAGTCACAACTTATGTACCAAGGATAATAACCGTTAGGATATTCATTCAATATACCTAAGAGAATTGTTTGTAAGACTGATTCTATTGGTTAATTCCTATTGGTTGTCCTAACTGTCAATCTCACATGCTTCAAATGTTGTTTTCTAATCGATCTAACTGTATAAATATGCATTATCTGTAATGTTTTATAATCCGAATCCTTAGCCTCTTCTGGATGCTTGTAGAATATACGCTCTACTTCATATCCAGTCTTCTTCTATTTAATGGGGGTTCAGGACGCTCGGATTAGAGTAGCCTGTCATGTCGTCGGATCATCGATCCGAACTCTCGTTTGCCGACTAACGTGCACTCGTAATAGTCCAAGCATATCAATTAACGTGGTCAAGTGCATTTGTAACTGTAAAATTTTATTTCTCAAAACCTTCACTAATAACACATTGAATAACGATCGAAAAAAAACTGCCTTCACATTTATTGGGAACTCATCATTTCTGCAGTTCAACTTGAGGGGAAATACTCAAAAATCTCATAGTAAATCAGTCTGAGAGAGTAGTTAGTTAAATAAAATAGAATACTTGATTTTGAATTTAAATACTAAAGCAGATTTTAAATGAAAAGTTCTTTCTACTGTGTCATTATAGTTTGATGAACAGTTGAAATTTTTGGTTTTACATATACCCTGATTGTAAACAAGCAGAACAGGTTATTCTAGATTCTTTTTTTGTTTTGAAAAAATAGGGTTGATAGCCAGATTTTTACTGACAACAATGTTTTCTAAAGCAATAAAGATGAAAGTCGGTAATAAGTGGGCTGACAGAGGTGAAATACAATGATAAAGTTGAAAAAAACTTTGTTATAGTCACAGAATTAGCTGTGACTATTAGTAAATAAAATATGAAAAAGATGAGTTACGTGATCAATGAAGGGTCTGTTATTATTATTATTATTATTATTTGTAAAGTGTCACAAAAAGTACAATATTTTAAATATTACATGTTCTTGCGCTATGTTGGGTCAACAGGAGAGCGAAAGAATAGTTTCGAAGATCATTAGACAACTGAAACGAGCTAATGTGTTTTTATGTAAGTACGTTAAAAAAAGTAAACATTCCTACTGATAAAAACAGAACTACATAATATTGAATGATAAAAGCCAAGTGTAAAACGTAGTAAGCAGTTGAGTGTGTAAGGCCTTTTTAAACAAGAGCGGAGTTAGCACTTCAATAAACTTCTCACAAAAAGGCCGTGTGTGACCGGTCTCAAGCAGTTGTCACTTGGGCTCCGCGGTCACGCGCGTAGGTCCCAAAGACCAGCACAAATCTATCTTCCTTTTCAGGTTCCTCAAGAAACACCCTTCCACAGTGTGGGCAGCCAGGAAATGAGATCCACCTTCATACCCGTCATAGCATACAAGACAGAATTGGTCACGATCAAATCGTTCCTACACCTCCTAACATCTCGCTTATCTCTAAAAACAAATTTATTTCTGAATTATTTGTGATACTAAATTTCTGCCTGAATAATTCCTAGAAAAATGGAACTGAATGGATATGTTTTCCATTACGAAAGCTATACAATAAAGTGGTTCATTAGGTTGGTTTATTCCAGCCAGAGTATTCTGGATCAACGAACTCAAATAAAAAGTACATTGATTGAGTAATTGCGAACTAGAAATACCGAGATTCAAAAAAAAACGCCCACCAAATACAAACACTGTGAATAATTGTTGCTATTTTACCTTTAATCGTTCAGATGATGTTCGTTTCAAGAATGATAAAGTATGACTGAGATTGGAAAATCTAGACAGACTACCACCACTTTTCTCTGATTGTTGTGAAATTTGTGTACCAGAATCATCGATCACTTCATAGGTTTGTACTTTCATTTGATTTGGATTTAATGATAATTTAGCCAATTCTGTGACAGCTATTTCATCAGACATATCCGCTGAGTATGATGTTTCTAGAACACTTAGTCCTAGTGTTTCTAACAGCTGGAAATACATACACAACAAATTTAATTAACAAAATTACTTAATACAGAATAATGCATTATAGATTTGTATTTTTAAAAATTAACAGTATTCATCGTTGTTATGATATAATTCAGAGAATAGTTGTATAACCGATTTCGTATTATCGTACAATGTTAAAATCAATTGACTCATAAGTCAAGTAAATTGATGTGTGGCTACATTGTAAGTGTGAGGTCTAATGATACAGCCCGGTTTCCCAAAACCGAGACTGAAATTTCAGTCTCATCAATTAACAAGTCATTTAAATTTTGTTGCTTTTTTCGAAGTATTTCAATTAGGAAGAAATGCAATTAGAACAAGATGAAAGTTTGATTATTGATATTACTGAGCTCATTTATTAAACTTCTTTTATTACTTGTAGATATTTGACAGTTAGTTTATGTTGGAGATGTCAGATCCCCAGAACTCGCTTGATAAATTTCTTTATTCTGGATTTATTTCATGGGCTGATCAGTTGACCTTGAGATCACATTTCCCACCAGCAAAATCCTTGGTTGTGATTGGTTACTGAGTTATTTTAGTGTGCTATTTTGTGACTGTCCCAAGTACGTCTCTATGGAGTATAAATAAACGCGATTTGTGTGCTCGGATGTATTGTGTGCTGGCTGGGTGTTTGTAGAATACACGTCCTGCGTTATATCAAGACTTCTTGCTAGTACAATTGGGTCAAGGGATCACAGTAGCCTACCTGGACGCTGGTTCATTGTTTTGTTCTCGTTATTCGACTAAGGTGAAACTGTAATAGTTTTAAGCATACCTAGAGACGAGCGTAACAGTCTATCTCTAACAATTATATTCATTCAAACCAGTAGAACAGAATCTGGGTCATGCATGGCATGCGACCTGTTAAAGTTATTTTTGCTGTTGTTCTAAGTGGAAACCAGCTACTTTGGTCTTGTACATATTGTACTGTAGTCTAATGTTGAGTTATGATAAATATAGATCAAACACAAATCAAATATGATTTAATAATCCACTACTTGACACTAATTAGTCTTTCAAAATAGTGATTGTTTGAGGCTATCTAAGTTTTTCAAATCAATCAACACAAACTAACCTGTCGTATAATAAAAGATGCTACATCTTTTGATTCCCAATAGCTTGCATGTAAAATGGAAGGTCGTGCACGAGCTAAGATATTTTGAATTGCTTCGGGACAGTGTACATTGTAATCAACTCTTTTAGGTCCCCACCATGATTGTTGAACTATAAAAACGAAACATAATACATAATTAGGTAGTAAGAAACACAACATGGCGGTATTTGTCGAAAACTAATGAATAGTACACTGAAATGCTTTAATTCCGCTTACTCTGACATGATATACTTCAATTTCAGAAATAAATGTAGAATGTAAGCTGTCATGTTACAAATTCCTTTCATACATCATGTCGATTCATATCACAACACAAGAAACTATATTAAACACTAGAAGTCTAAACAAAAAAAGGGAGACATAAATGAGTGTGCAGTGTGTGTACTAATATGTTGAGTTCATATGGCTAGTCGTAGCCTTTTGGAAAAATTAATTAATCCATCCTTTTTTTCCAATCATCATAGCATATTCAATCGTTTGTTTAAATCAAAGTTAGATTCTGAGCCACAAAAAGTGAATCAGTTGCCTAACCCATAAGAAATCAAAATGAATTAAAGTATAGAAGTGTAGATAATGACAAGTGTACAACTAGTATCTACGTAATGTAGTCGTGGTTCAGTTGGGTGTCATTAAAAGTAAAAGATAATATTTTTAACAGAAACGACCCAAACAAAGAAGTTAGAATCAATGAAGAAGAGAGTCAGTCAGTTACAACGTAGAACTTCGTACGTACATACGTACATAAGTTCACGTTGCTATGACAAAATGAAGAAGACACTATTCTTGAAGTTCTTGTGTGATGTTGATATATGTGTTGGGGACGTTAGATCCATAGATTTTATGTTTTTGAACATGGGCTGATCAGTTGACCTTGAGATTATATTTACCATCCAGGAAATCCTTGACTGTCATTGGTTGATGGATTATTTTAGTACGCTATTTTTGTGGATCTCCCAAGGACGTTTCTATCATGTATACATAAACTCGATTTGTGTGCTTGTTAACCTCGATTTTCTGGGTGCTTGTAGAATACACTTTCTACGTTTTGTAAAGACTTCTTCTTCTACATATTGGGGCCTTGGGACACTCGGATTAGAGTAGCCTATCGCGTCACTGGATCATTTATCTTTGCTCTCGTTTACCGACTGAGGTGAGCTAGTAATAGTTTCAAGCATATCAACTGACTAACATAACAATATGCCACAACATATTAGTCAACATAAAAATCATCGTTATAGAATGCCTTTATGTAAGTAAGATTAATCTTCATTAATCAACTTGTAATTGTCGCCTGCACTAGATGAAGTATTGTATTGAGTATTTTACAACTAACCTACATCTTTGGTAATATAGCTGCTATATTACATAAGGTCATGGGTTCGAATCCTGCGAGGAGCAGGAGTCGTGGATGCACACTGCACTGATGAATCCTATACCAGGACGAAACGGCCGTCCAGTGCTTCCAGGTTTCTAATGGTGGTCTAACAATGATTGATTGATGATTTCAAATGTGTAAAAACACAAAAAACCTCCAAAACTCTGCCCCAAAATAAGCTAATAAGCCTAATTCAAAGTTTGCTTTGTTTCAATTTTCTGATATTCAACCGAGAATAATCATAAAGTGAAAAATAAAACATTTGAAAGATTAAAAAATCATTATTAATTGTATGCCAATACAGTTAGTTAGTTAGTTTTCAAGTCATATGTTGAATTCATTAAAAGTCATAGGATTTTGAACTCATTACTATAATGTTTTTATTTTTAAAAATAAAAAAAAAACTTTACAATATTCATGTATTTTTTTTTCTCTGGGGGTAAGTAAATTTAAATGAATTATTTCTCCCATTATACAATCTTCTTTGATAATAATAATAATAATAATAATAATAATAATAATAACTAAACGTAATTAAATTTATTTTTTTTAATCGTTGACCTAATTTAAAATGTTAGAACATTGGCTTATTTTACAATAAAAATTTTATTAATGATTCAAAACATGAATTTCATTTGACTTTACTATCTCAATCTAGATTTCCGGGTTTTTTTTCTATACCATTAAGTTAAGTAATCTGGGTTTTTCATCTTAATGATATTTACTCTCTCTCTCTCTCTTTCTCTCTGTTAACGTGATGATTTAAACTACGATATTTTAAACCAATCCATATTAGTAGCATTGCTTTAGGGGGGTTATTTGTGAATGAGTGAGCGATTAACAGAATTGGTTAAAATAAAACTCGAAATAGAGAGGAAGTCAGTCAAAAAATTGATCGATGCAAGTTTGACGGTATTTTTGGGTCGGAAATGTTTTCGTTTAGAATACATACTGTATCAATCGAAAACTGATTATACAGTTTTTGTGAACGTCTTACTGAATACACACACAATCTACGTCAGTATCGAATGCAATACGTTGAACACATATTCAATAGCGATGATGATAAGCTAGGCTTTAATAATTTTCGAATGTAGTAAACAGTTTGGTTTAATTTTCAAACTTTTGCCACACAAAACTATCTGCCTTTGGGACACCTTATGCACGATCCTTACTCAACGATTTCGGAATATTTAAATCAAACAGCTTTGGCAAGCAAGCTTCTAATTAGAAACATTGCTCATCCTAGTCTCAAACGAAAAGATATACAAGTAGTTGCGACTTTAAATAATACATCTTAAGTTAAGGAGTCCATAATGAGGAGTTTCTGTAGAGTTCGTGAGACGAACTAACCAATTTTTATTCTTACTCTTGGTATGAAAAACAGTTAGTTGACTTTGTACCAGTGAGTTGCACGTAGGAACCATTGTCTAGCGATGCGCATGCACACTTACTTATTAAAGAATCATAGATTTTAAGTGCTACTTCACTAGGTAGGACCTATTTTCGAATTTAGTTCTTCACCTTCCAGATTCAATCAAGCTTGATTCGCAAAGGCCGCATTAGAATAGCAAACAAGTTGTCCATATCCCTAACCTTATTAAAATTAGCAATTTCTACTTATCTAACAATTTCCCAAAATATGGAAAACGCAAATGTAGCTTTTCCATGAATTTAACTCTCTTTCATGAGATTAAATTTAAAGACCTAAAGTATTTATTCAAGCTGTACGATTACGCAAAACACACATGTCTTGTTTATGCACTACAGATTCTGTTCACTCAGTTCTTAATTTGTTAACTTTTCACTCAGATATTCTACCACCGAAAACTGAATTGTTTATGATATACTATAAGATGAATTACTTTCGTGAATTCGGTTCGTTGAATGGTTAATATTATCTTACATGAAGTTTAAGATATCCTTAGTATATGTGATACATGATGTAGTTGATAGGAGATTATTTCGTGACTGAACATACGATAAAGAAGTTAATGTTTGTGGTGGTGATGCTGTCGACTAATGCTTCATATGATTCAGACTATGGTTTACAAGTAAGAATGGACATTTTTTGGGCTTTCCTACTTATGTAAATGATGATTCATTGCCTCAGCTAGTGAAGATGTACATTTTCCCAAAAACAATCATGAAATCAACTATAAGTCAGAAAATTCTAAATATTACTTTTAAAGCTTTATTTGTATTAATCGTGATGATCAATAAGTGTCAGTTGGAATAGCGCAAAGTTCGGTGAAGTTCTTACAGTACTATCCATATTCAGGATACAAATTGTATCATACATCGCAGGTGCTGTTATATTGTAGAAAGGTCAAGGTTGCTGTTTTCAATAGAGTTGGTGATTTAACACTACTGGTTACAGTTGATGTTGTATCAAGTGGGAATTTTTGGTATTTTAGATAATGGCATAATCACTAATTCATTTGTATTGGTTGTTTGAATCTTACCATTGATGTTCAGAATTGCAATTAATCAGTTTCTTTGGCGAATGTGCATTCTATGCGAATTGCCTCGATTTTACCTTTAGGTTACAAGCAATGGAAATGAATTAATCTTCACCCTCATCGAACAAACGAGTAACTATCTGCCCACAGTAGCTAAGTGGATAATATGATGTGCTTAAGGCGAATGTTATTGGATTCGAGACTCGGAGTCAATATCAGATTTTAGATGCAGGTACCTCTAGCGGATGGGTCACAATTAGGACTAAACCTACGCCATGGATTCCGCTGATAGCCATTAATCACCTCTACTAACAATAATTTCATTACCACAAAGATTTTAAATAGCTTTCTGTACAGTGAGAACTAGATGATCATAGAACTCCTAGTTTCAAAATTTTCTGCTTGACTACAGTAAGTAAGTGAACAGGTCACAACTAATCTCAAAACGAAACTAATAAAACATTGTACAAAATAAATAATTTTGCAAAAAAATTAGTACTACTACAAAAGATATTAAGTACTATACATATATAAACACAAAACTTAATTATCTTCACATGACAAAACAAACCTTTTTTTAACGCTTCCAGTGCAAAGATCGATTTCTTTTCCCAATTTAATCGTTGATTTGTTAATTGTTGTTTTATATTAACGGTACTATTCACATTTTCATTCATTAGAGAATTATCATTATCCGATAAATTGAATGATTTTTCTGAAATATTTGCAGAAAATAATTCAGCATGTTGTATAAGAGTTTCAATTAAATTGGTCGATTGTCCATCACCAAGTGGATAACGAACATATTGTGGAATTAATATTGGAGATATACAACTGAAACGATTATCCAATAATGGTTCAATACGAAAACCGCATGGATCAGTTAAATGAAAAAGATTATAAGCTTGATCTACGGATAATTTAATTTCTAAGAGAAAAGTAGAAAAAAATATATATACATATCATCAAAAAATATATATTGAGAAATAAGAGATGATTGTTCATGTCAATTATATAGTGCATTCGATACACGTAGTACAGATGATATAAAATCATTTGGTATTATAACGTTTCGATTACACTGAAATGTTGCGGCTAGTGACCGATAGATCACATGCTTCAAATGATGGTATATTGTTTTAACCAAATCAAAATATTATAAAGTAATAATATGCATTGCGGGGTTGTTGTGACGATTGTTAAGTTTTATTTGTAACCATAAATCGGTCAATGTTAGACCACCATGAGAAACCTGGAAGCACTGGACGGCCGTTTCATCCTGGTGTGGGACTCACCAGCAGGGCGCATCCACGACTCCTGCACCCCGCAGGATTCGAACCCAGGACCTTCGGTGTTGTGCGCGAACGCCCTAACCGTTAGACCACTGAACCGGTATCTAACGGTGTTAATGTCTAACTTGATCAAATTCACGGAGTCGCACAACCTCATACCCTGTATACATCCGGACAGGTTCGAACTTCACTGGTCACGACTTCCCACTAGAACTCGGAGAAGATTCCTCACTAAGCTCGTCCCTAGTGGACACATGTATTTGCATTGCGGGGTTGTTGTAAAGATTGTTAAGTTTTATTTGTAACCGTGAATCGATCAATGCTGATGAGTCCCATACCAGGACGAAACGGCCGTCTAGTGCTTCCAGGTTTCTAATGGTGGTCTAACATTGATCGATTCATGGTTACAAATAAAAGTAATAATAGATACATGAAATTAACACAAGTTTTCAATACATATTATTCTCTTAAAAGTAACTTTAGTATTGTGCTAGTGTTTCCTTTTCTGAGCTGGATGCTTTAGTTGTGAAGATTTCATTGTTCTTCTGCTGAACAACATGATCAGCACAAAGTTAAGATAGAAGTGAAGTATTCGAATTTCTCCACGTTTGATCGGTGGCTTGTTCAATCCTGCAACTTTAGTATCACCTTTATAAAAATTATGACTGTAAAACTATAAAACGAAATTACGTCACATTAATTTTGATGGTCAGAATATTTTTTTAAAGAGGATTAAGAGAAAGTGATCAGAACAGGATCCCATGATAGAAACTAGTATCGGAATAGAATGATGAAGATAAAAAAGTAGATAACCAAGTGAATTGAATTCTCTGAATTGTTAAGCTAAATGATCTCAATCACACACACACATTTTACATTGGAAACCAGAAATATGTTTGAATCTACAAGCCAACTGTAAAAAGACTGAATCAAGCATCGATTAGGATATACACTATGAAACAAATGACAAACAACCTTAATCAGTAGTTCTTTTTTATTACTTCACTGAGTTTTTTACCAGCTTGTAACCTGATCAACTGAAAATCAGTCAGTCAATTACAAAGTAGAACTTCGTACATGAGTACATAAGTTTAGGTTGCCATATCACATTAGCACAGGGACACAATGGTCAGTTCAAAACCTATAGTGGTGGAGATAGTAGAAGAATAAGCGGTGAAGGAGAATATTATGGATCGAAGATATGATTCAAGAAGTATAATTCAGTTAGATAAATCTAGAAAGAGAAAGATAGAGAAGATGAGGAATCGTGAAGATTAGAATTCGAGAGAACACAAAGAGAGGATGCACCTGCGCCATTCCAAACGATTTTGAGCCATGTCGTTCAAGGTCTCTAACGATTGGTGACTTTCGTCTCGCGAGCCCCAATCAGGAAGTCGACATATACCAACATGACTCAGTCCACTTGTCAGTGACTTCATGAATTTTTGCCTTGTTTACGTTTGGCCGCCACGATCACTTTAAAATATTCAAACTGACAAACAATCTACTGACTGGGGGGGATATAATTGGAAGTGATTCAACAAGTGCAGACGACTATTTCACTTGATTTAAATGATGTTGGTCAAAAAAGATCTACTGACTGTAACAGATCATTGACAGTTAATATTATGTCCATAAACCTTACGATTTGCTTTGTTAAAGTGATCATTCAAATAGTAAAAGCAAGCATTCTGTTAAATTTGAATTCTATCATTGAAAAGTAAAATGAAATGAAGTCGAACTTAGAAAAAAGAATCCAGAATCTTTTTTCTAATCTACCTTTCATACATGAACAATTTTAAAAAAAATTCCATTCACAATCACTCATATTAGCTAAGAAGATTATATTAGTATAGATTTCAAATTACATTTTTCTTATATCCCTAATAGTACTTATTGCATAGATAACATAATTTCTAAAATCCATGTCACTCAGTTTGTTTGTGAGACAGCCAGTCGTGCAAAACAACGTTAATCGTTCACTTGTTTTCCAGCTTAGTAAAGTAAAAAAAATTATTGAATTCAAATAAATTAGCCAGTGTACTTATACTAATTGTTAGTTTTAAAGTGAAAAACAGTTGAAAAATATCATTTTATGATGTAAATAAATTGATATGCTTGGAACTATTCACGATAGGCTATTCTAATCCATTTGTTCCCGAAGCGCCTAACTAAATCAAGTTTTGATAAAGCGTAAAAAGTGTATTCTACAAGCATCCAGAAAACAAGAGGTTGACAAGCACACACAATCGAGTTTATTTATACATGACAGAAACGTCCTTGGAAGAGCTACAAAAATAATAGCGTACTAAAACAATACATCAATCAATGACAGTCAAGGATTTTTTGAGTGGGAAATGTACTATCAAGGTCGACTGAACAGCCCATGCGCGAAAACACATAAATCCAAAATTAAGACCTTTTTCAAGTGGGTTCTGGGGATCTAACGTCTTCAACATAAGCAAATGAAATAAGTTTATCAACAGATATAAACACTATGTTTTAACGATGCTGTTAGATAAATGTAGAATCAATCAATCATGAAAATATTTTTGCTAAAATATCGTGTTATCTGATATCTTAGTTATTTTTGTACATTTGATCAATTAAATAGATTGATCAGTAAGTACGTAATACCTCAGTTAACAAGAAATCATGTCAAAGTTATAAATAGATACTATAAAAAGCCTTTAGAAAAGTTTTATAAATATACACAAAAGCAAAAATTAATTAAAGTTAAGCAATCTAACAATAATAAATCGATTATAACATATATTTACCAATTAAATTGGTTACATTTAACTGCAGTTATTGATTTTCCGACTTTATATGATAACTAGTTTTTAATATCACATAGAAGTAGAAAACTATATGATTTAGAATAGATTGGTCACTGGATAGTGACCAATGTCGCATATGTGTCAAGTGTTTCTTAGTGCTAATTAAACAGGATTCGGTCAATTGTAGATATATCTCAATCCTACACTAGGTCAGTCAATGTTACAGACTTCGACGCTGTTTCCTATTACATCTAAGTGTACAAATACACATTATCTGTAACGTTTTATGACCCGGACATGGATCCTTAGTCCGGGATCCTTATCGTCTTCTGGACTCGGACCTCGTACTTTCTGGATGGTTGTAGAAAACAGGATCTACCTTGTATCTAGTCTCCTTCTTTCATTCAATGGGGGTTGGGACACTCGGATTAGAGTAGTATGTCCTGTCGCCGGATCTTCGATCCTCGCTCTCGTTTTCCGACTAAGGTAGACCTCGTAATAATTCAAGCATATGAAGTGACGCATTTACGTGCATGCGTAACACAGTTGCAGCCCGGATAGCTAAGTAATAACTTTCGTGACTGGGTGACACGGAATCAAATCCACTAGGGAGTATTGGTTCCCTGAATAGTACAGGTACACTTACTTTGGTGACGAGTGACAAACAGTACGAAATCTAGGTGTTTTGTGTCGAATAACTCTAACCACCATCTTTTACTGTATGAGTTTAAAAATTATATATATATATATATATATCAATGAAATAATCTACCTTGTGATAAGTGATACGCCGTATGACCAGACGAATTACCAATGAATTGATTGGTTGTATTGCATGTAGTTGTAGATGCTAATGACACCATTTGATTCTGCTGATAACGATAAGCCAAAATAAGACCGATTGGTGAACCCAACATGAAAAATTTTTGTACCTTTATAATTCAATACAAAATGAAGCAATGGACAAAATAAACAAACAAAGTTAGAATGTGAACTCATAAATAACAAAACATGTGAATAGCATTTAGAAAAATTAAATAAGGTTGGATAGAAAACAAATTCATTAAATTAATACGTATGGTTGTGAATAATACAAACATTAGGAGATAGGCAGAATGAATTGAAGCATTTTAATAAAATAAAATAATATCAGTTCATAATATCACTTGAACGTTTCATATAATAGAGCGTAAAAAAAATGTATATACGTCAATGTTTTTGTTTAATGAGACAAACAAGCATAACTGAGTATAATATAAACAGTAAATATGAACACATAGATCAACCGTGAATAATAATATCACGGTTTATTGGAAATAATTTTACGGTCAGAGATTTGAAAATTATTTCATGACAGGAAAAAGAAAACAATCATTTTACAGAAAACTAATAAATATCATGTAGATATGATTTTGTCAACAATAGATCATGGAAAAAATCACGCAGCAAAGATCAACCTTAATCGAGGATAAAATAAGATTCATGAACTTCAAATGTGGCAAGACATATTGAAACTAAACACTTGTGGGTGTATTATACAAATGAAGAGATTGCAGCCAAAACGAAACAATAGCCTACTACTGTTTGTCCATGTTGAATGATTTCCTCACTGATATTAATTCATAAACGAATGTTCAACTACACCATTTATTCACACCCTTAGTTCAATTTCGGGATATTATGTCCATAAGTAAATATTTTCAATATTCAGTATGTTACCAGTCAAGTATAGGATTCTATCAGTCAGTCAGATGCAACGTAGAACAGTTCATACATACTATACCACATTAGCACAGAAATGTAATTGTCAATTCAAACCCAATAGTAGTAGAGGTAATAAAGGTATTAGAAGTAATAGGAGGGGTTAGGATTAGAAGATATTATACAAGGAGTATGATTCAGTGAGATAAGTTTAGAAAGACAAAACTAGAGGTGTTGAAGAATCTAGAAGATTAGGATTTAGGAGAACGCAATGAATAAATGCACCGGCGCCATTGCAAACGATTCTGAGCCATGTCATTCAAGGTCTCTAACCATCGATTATTATCATCTCGCGGCCCTTAACCAGGTAGTCGACAGTTACCGACATGGCTAAGTCCACTAGTCAATGACTTCATGGATTTCTGCCATGTTTTGGTTTGGCCACCCCTAACTTCCTTCCAACCTACTCCCCTACACCACAAAACAGCTCGTCGAGGCAGTCGGTGGTTAGGCATACGTAACACATGTCTCAACCACTTCAACTGATGAAGTTTCATTACTTCATCTATTGATCTTCCATTCTTACCTAGCACCCGATTCCTAATAACAGCGTTGCTCACTTGGGTATCTCATGTGATACACGAGCAATGTTTCGGTATTTCGAGTACGTCTATAAGACAACACATTTAATGAAATTAAAACCAAACATTTGAACATGATTATTTGAAATGCTATTCAAATAGAAATCTGATTAACAATAAGAAATGATTAACTTAGATAATTATTTTTTCTCTTTAAACAATGCCAGTTTTTAACATCTACCTAGCAGTTATCATACTGAGTTTTAGCGTCCTATTGATAATTTGATTAACACATAATTAATAGAATGCTTTCAACCAGAGACAGAGAGAGTGTAACATGAGATATAGTTAGTTCATTATATTTGGTTGATAGTTATCATTCATTTAACATGTCAATTTTGTGTCATTTTATACAAATTCAATACATAATTAATACATTACTACAGTATTTCTATACACAGAATTATCGAAACATGAATATATTTTAACGAACAACGCATGATAGATTTAGGTCATCCAAATCAGCTAGTTAATTTTGATAATGGGGTTTTTAAAACAAATTCTCAATGGAATTCATGTGGTTGTTAATGTATCATGTTTTTTTAAAATATTAAATCAAAAAGTACAATTAAGGAATCACAAAAATCAGTACAGTGTCGAACAATGTAATCGAATTGCCTAAAAATACTTAAATGTGTTTGGATAGGCATCATATTGATTATCTGAGAGCTAATAATAATAATAATAATAATAATAATAATAATAATAATAATAATAATAATATCTGAATGCCTAAAATCAGATACACAGCGTAAAATTCGAAATCTATTACTTAATAGTTGAAAGTCGAGTGTCCTCGAACCCTACTCGTCTCCATTCCCCGCAATACTTCTACTATCTGTATCACTATGGGATACCAACTGACAGTTGTGTCTTTGTACTAATGTGGTATGGCAATCTGAACTTGTGAGAAGGCAGCATCGCTGCAGATGCTGGTTGTCTGAAGGAAACACCTCACTGCTGTCACACCCCTCTGCAGTCAGCAATATGACATATGTTCAAGCCAATATAGTTCCGTTGGGTCATTACGATAGGCAAGCCCATCCACCACGTCAAGGTAGGAGCTACGGTCGGGAAGATATCAAGATATCCGCTTGCTGACTAAAGGACGAATGTACTGTGTAGTAGTTCGCTCCGTCTTACTTAATGGCTGTTGCATCTGATTGACTGATAGAATCCTATACTTGACTGGTAACATACTGAATATTTAAAATATTCACTTATGGACATAATATCCACAAATTGAACTAAGGGTGTGAATAAATGGTGTAGTTAACCATTCATTCAGTCACTTTGTCGGTAAATGGACGATATATATCTACAAACTACTGCTCATAAATTAATGGAACTACGTGAGATGAAGTTAAAAGCAAATTTTTACAAAAAAAACAATGTTACATATATGCCTATGATCAATTTTAAAATCAGATACAATGACATGAGTTAGACACTAGTTATGGTTTTCTTGGTAGCTCGAATTTACGTAAAGCGAAATATAAAAAAAATGCAAATTTTGACATTTAAATCAAACCAAAACAGTAGCAACTGTTAAAACAAATTTCAAAACTCTCTACCCATACAGTGATATGATACTTAACGCATCGTCAGGCTTGAAAATCAGTTTAGCTTTCATTATGCATACAAACACATACAGATTAAGGTCAACAAGCGGTAATAATTGGAGACACATACAATGATATATTTGTTTCAACGTGTAAATGAGACTAAACACAATTGAAATATAAACGTTTGTTGAATAGGTTAGTCAGATAAACAAGAACGAAGGAAGGTAATAATAATTATATTATCACAATTATTAGATCCAAAGTTCATAAAATTGTTTACCAGTTTTATTACTGAAATCATGAATCAATCATCGTCAGATCATTATTAGGTACCTGGAAGCGCTGAATGGCCGTTTCTGCCTAGTATGAGACTCATCAGCAGTGCGTATCCACGTTTCCTGCACCTCGCAAAATTCGAACCCGGGACTTTCAGTCTTGCGCGCGAACACCTAACTTCTGGACCACTAGGCCGGCATCCAACGGTGGTAATGACTCTGACTGATCTAGGGAGTTTGCGCGACCTCACCCACTTGTCTTTGGTAGTTATTGCTTACACCCGACAGGGTTGAAATCCACTGGTCACGTCTTCTCACTAGAAGTGAGAATTTCCTCACGCAGCTAGTTACAAGTAAGCACTGCTGAGGAGTCCCATGCCAAGACGAAACGGCCGTCCAGTGCCTCGAGGCTTCTAATGGCGGTCTAACAATGACTGATTGATGATTTCGAATGTGTAAAGACAATAATCTCCATAACTCTAATTCAAATATACATATATTGACTGATTCATGAAGATAAGATTAGTTAAAAGGTAAGTTTAACAACAACAACAACAACCAAAAAGAAATAACTACATACTTGAAAATCCAAAGGAAATATTCGACTATGTGATTTAGATTTTTCATTTTCACAGTTGGACAATTCACCACTTCCTAGACTAGTGTTTGATTCAGGCTATAGAAGTGTAAATGAGAAAAAAGAAAGAAATGATTGCAAAATGAACTAAATAATTTTTCAACTGAAAAAATACAGTTTAATTTAAATTTATTATTTATTTTGTTTGGCTATACTAAAAGTTATGACTAACTCGACCACATGATTAGTGAGTATTTTTGAATTGTAAAATACAATAATGAGTGTGAAACGTATAAAAAGTTCCAGTTTTATGTTGAACGCCAAAGATGTATACACCTATTACACAACTGTGCAATCAGCTAAGAAGACTGCACAATATAGATAGATAACAGGGAAATATCCACCTAAAGTAAATTCGACGGGGATTTACTTTCAGCATACCATTCACTTTTATCAATGAAATAATAAAAGGACGAAAATTCAGTGGGATTAGCGTTGAAGCTGTTATCGACCAGTTGAAACGTATTGAAGATTGATCTTAGCTCAAAATGTATGCGAAATAACATGGACGGCTGATTTTATGATTATTTCTATCTAAGATTTTAAAAATTAGTGTTCGAGGAGTCGAAACCATCAATTTTGATCCCCATCATGTTTTTGACCAGACACCAGTGATGAATCTCCCAGACACTGATATGCACGACACAGTCACGTCATTAACTTCCCTAAACGGCACCCAATCAACAAATAACAAATCTTATTCACATTCAGTTTTGTCCAAAATCGTTATTCAGAGAACACAATAAGTTAAACGGACAAGTGTTCCAAAGAAAAACAACAACTGTAGCAATTCCACTGATGAAAGTAGGATGCATTTAGCATAAATATCCATCTATATGTAGTTAAAAGCATTTTATATGAGTTTGTATATCGAAGATGAAAGGGTAACTGACTTATATATTGACTGCTACGAAAATAATTCTCATCACTATTGACCAAGTACTTGCTTTCAATATATAAACAACGTGGTTTTTTTACATGAGTTGGAAAAGAAGTTCTATGCTACTTTTCTTCAAGTATCTAGTTCATACATTGTTCAAGTTGAGATTATTTTTCCAAAAAAATATATCTTCATTTTCGACTGTAAACTACAAACTCTTTGTTTATTGATAATATATGATAGAGTGAGCAATGGAATAGAGATATGAGGAAATATCATAGAATTCAGTCTTCGCTTAGTGATTGACTTATTATTTTTTTTAAATGCACCTCTTTTTTACGTTATCATTATGTTTATATTTGATGAATTATATTAAGTTAGAATATTTTTTTTATATGGTGATGTGTTTGATCATTGAACGTGATAGTCAAAAATCAAGTACAGAGATCATCTCATTTGATTGTTGATATTTTTAGCAAATACGACGCACTAGTATTCCAAAAACTGATCATATTTACGTGTATATATTAATATCTATATGGAGTGCGGTTACCTAGATCAAATGTTTCACATTGACCAATGATCACAAAATAGAAATATATATGCATATATGTATATGCGTTGAAAATTATGAAAAATGAATTGTAATTTTAAACAGATTTTTAAAAATTATTTCATTTAAAAATCACTGGCAGACTATAGCTAAAAAAAACCCACTAAAAACAGTGAACTGCTGTTTCATAGTAATTTTTTTCCAACTATCCTATAGGCGTTCACAACACTTGTAGTGAAGGAGAACACAGGTGAGGGCAACCGAATTGAATTATCGAAAATTACAGAGTTAATTGGTAAAATAGGAAAACCATATCGTAAACCGTTAATTTGCAAATCTTCAATCCATCATCACTCCATTGTCTGACATTTCACTCACTGTTCATGCGTTTCATACAAATTCCATTGTGTTCCCACTCTTCTTCCTTTCTTGATCTCTTCCCCCATCTTCTGCTGCCAGACATTACGTTTACACTCGCGTCATATACTACTTATAAGTAGCGCGCACCACACACTATCTAGTATGCAAACTAGAATTTTCAGCTAACGCGCTAAGTACTACCTATATCATCATTACGTCATTTGAATAGGTATATATTCAAAGGAGTCAACATTTTTAAAACCTCAGTCTATTTTGGCAGTATGATACGATCATAATTCAATAATATAAACTTTCTAATACTGTTATTTGTACTTGTGTAAAGCAGTAATCTTTTGCGGAATGTTCATGACATCTCATTCATTCTAAAAATTACTGTGAGTAATTTTTTTGCTGATCTTATTCTATGTAGATCTCTTGTCATTTTGAATAATTAATTCTTAAACAATTTATTTAATTGATTTTCAAGATTGCGATAAATTCTGTATTAATTTAACTAATTTAAGTAATAATTATGTCATATCAAATTGTTTAAAGTTACCACTATTGATTTTACAATAGTATATTACATTTTTGAGTTGAACTAAGCTGTACAACAAAACCAACAAGACAATTACACACAAAAATATATAATGCATTCAAGTTATATCCTGCTTTGTTTTTTGTCTGTTATTCATGTTACACATTCGAAATCAGGAATCGATCAATGTTAGACCATCACTCCATTAGAAACCTGGAAGCACTAGACGGCTGTTTCGTCCTGGTATGGGACTCATCATCATGTATTATTCAGATTCAATAAAAGCAAACAAGTGCATGAAGATAAGGGAATGATTAAATCACAAACTCATCAATCAATCATTGTTAAAACACCATTAGAAACCTGGAAGCACTGGACAGTCTAACAATGATTGATTGATGATTTCAAATGTGTAAAAAAACTAATCTTCATAACTCTAATTGAAAATATCGTATAATGTGCTCACTAGTGAGTAGCATCGTGAAGAAATTATCGAAGTTCTAGTGAGAACACGTGATCAGTGGGGTTCAACCCTGTCGGGTGTTGGCAATAACTACCAAAGACAAATGGGTGAGGTCGCACAAAATCCCTAGATCAATTAGAGTTAGACATTAACACTGTTGGATGCCAGCCCAGTGATCCGATGGTTAGGCGTTCGCACGCAAGACTGAAAGTCCCGGGTTCGAATCTCGCGAGGTGCAGGAGTCGTGGTTGCGCACTGCTGATGGGTCCCATACCAGGACGAAACGGCCGTCCAGTGATTCCAGGTTTCGAATGTTGGTCTAACAATGATTGATTGATGATTCTAAATGTGTAAATACACTAATCTCCATAACTCTAATTGAAAATAAATCACAAACGAAAGATGATCATGAGAAAATATTCCACATCCCATAAATTTCTTTCCATTTGAATAATACTCACCTAGAAAAACTTACTGGGCATAAAGTGACTTCACTGGGACTGTTGATTAAACTTCGGCTTTTAGCTGTCCTATTGGAATTGATTGTATTATGAAAACCGAATTGTTTACGACGTATTAAACCAATATCTGTTATACTTGTATCATTATTATTAATATTATTGTTTGGTATAAGTTGATGATTAGTAGACGGTTTTGTTAAAAGATCATGCGCCAAAATTGAACCAACACTATCAGCTATGATACAAACTTTGCCAGAAAAATGAATCCCTTCAGGTGAACGTATAAATTCAGCATAATGCGTGTTCAGGTTAAATGCTAATTGTTCCAACATCTACAACAACAACAACAACAACAACAAAAAAACATGCTTAATAGTTGAATATTTATATATATATACAGTGACTTACAATTTAATTCATTTTTTTTTGAATAAAAATTTCAAAAAAAAAAAAAATAAACCAAGCAGAAAACAAACACATTGGCATTGTTTTTAAGTAGAAAGAAGTATGAATTAATCAATAAAAGAAATCAACTGGTAAGAGAGAAAAAAATCAATAATTAGAGTAGAAAATCAACCGAAGAAGAAAAATGTACAGGTACAGTTTTGCATATACATATGTACGTATATATATATATATATATATATATACCACAATGCGTAAACTTGTAATTTCTTTGAATTGTAACTTTACATGGTCTAGACTAGCTACCCATTGTTATTTAGCTTTTTTTTTTAAAAAATACTACCTAATTTTCCATTGTGTAAAATCAGTTTGCAAAATAATAACATCTTGTGTAGAATTCTTATCCGTTATAAAAGAAATGAGGAATCAGTTAAGTTGAAAATTATACTTTGATGAATTTTTAAATTTAAAAATTGAAACAAATAATATGAATGAATAAATGTGAAACACCAAACAAGAAAATACTTATTATTAAAATACCTTGATAACTACTACTGAAGAGACTCTTTTTGTGATGGTTGTTACTCACACAGTGACAATATAAGTAATATGCAGTAAGGTGGTGTTGCCCAGAAAGTATTATCATAATGAAGACTATTAGATCGTAATATGCATGGCGGGATCAACGTTATTTTGAAGACGAGAAAACTTGTGAAATAGGATAGCCAGTACACTGTTTGCATTGCCAATGAATATCTGGAGAAAAAGTATCTATAGTTTGTAAATAAACTGTCTTTTGTAGATAGATAGATATAGATATGTATTCCATCCGCCTGTAGACCTTTCGGGGCTACTGCCGGTCCCAAGCCCTGATAAAGGAGGAGGGTTGAGATTGGGTTGGCGACACCATCCCGCAAAAAACTAACAAGAAAAAGTAATTCGAACCATATAAACCTTGCCCATCATGACGTCTCATGATGAAAGCCCAGTTCCTTTAGAAGTCATGAGGCCGATGCCTCTCCTAAAAACCAGAAACCTTCCACGGTATGGGAAGCCAGGAAATAACATCCACCCTCCTTACCATAAAAGCATCTAGTTTTGATACTTTCGTACATTACACTATATATGATAACAATGGATTGAGATAGATCACTAGTTTTATAATATTTTGAATTGAATTACATTTAATAACTTCGGCTGTGAAATAGATTCGGCTATTTTTTATATCGAACGTAAAATCCTAGAGAAAATCAAGATGCGCAGAAGAGGAATATTATAAGGAAACTTAAAAGTCGTAGATAAACACTATTGAGAAACCTTACACTAAAACAAAACAACTATTCAATGTAGGCTCAACCTATTAGTACACATTATTTACTTAGTACATTAGTACACATTACACTATGTAAAAGCGTACAATCCGTTCCATGAAGCAGAAAACAAGGATTTGGAATTCAAAAGGAAGGAATCAGCATCATAAGTATTCATTACTGACTTCATTCTACATAGATATTCCATGGTTCTGGTTAAGTTGAACATAACCCAATTCCACTGATAGAAAAAGCGCATCATTAGCTACCTTTGTTCGGGTCCGCGAGATGATAGTAATTGACGGTTAGATACCCTGAATGGCAGGGCTCAAAATCGTTTGCAATGGCGCAGGTGCATCCACTCTTTGTGTTCTCTCAAGTTCTAACCTTCTGAATTTTTCGTTATCTCTATCTTTCTCTTTCTAACCTTATCTCACTGATAACCTTATCTCTCTATCACTACTAATACTACTATGGGGTTCGAAATGACAATTGCACCTCTGTGCTAATATGGTATGGTAACTTAAACTAATGTACGTACGTACGTACGAACTTCTATGTTGTTGTTGACTGACTAATTGACAGCTACATACATAAACTTGCTGAAATGTACAACTGCTTGCTAAAAAAAGTACTACGCCTTGATAATCACATCATGGCTATTTCCTAGCTCTTAAGTTAACTATATTTTTTTACAACCTGACAAGCTCTCATTTCGAATGAATAAGACCTGAATAGTTGATATGCTAAGAAATACCTAGAAATAATGGATAATTATTTCACTTTAGTTTAAATATAATGAAAAGACAAATCTGCATACCTTACACTGGTTATTGCTAAATTGAATATAATTATCGATTTTACAGCTATATAAAAATTTCAACAGAATTTATGGTAAAAAATATTCTACTCTTCTTCTCCAGTTTAATATTTCACCATGTTAAAGTTGCATTCTATATACAATCGTTTCGGGCTTTATTAACAACACAGATACAACCAGGGGTTGTTTAGCGCACACATTAATGAATGAGGAGAAGGAACTAGTTGTATTAAAGATGGTATTTAAAAAAAGTAACAGAGAAACAAAATAGAGAATATGAAGTATAGATAACTACGAAGGTGATGGTATAAAGAAATAATCTACACCAGATGATCTAGTTCGACACAAATCACATAGTCGGTAATAATTATAAAAAAAATGACCTGAAAAAAAAAGAGTAACTTGTACCTTCCTACACAGTTCTAATCAAGAATCAATGACTTCAACAATCAATACTGGATATTTCAATGAACAGTCAAGGTACTTTGGTGTACTTTTATATACATCGAAATAATTTCATATGGTGTTCGATATCTTGACATCTAATTGATGCCTTAATAACAATAATAAATAACTAAAGATAGTGTTTTCAACATTTAACATAATTTATGCAGAAGAATTGAAGTTAAGTAATAAGGTAAAAGTGTTAAATAACAAAAGAATTGAGAGTATAAAAATGACTTTCACAGAAATTAAATAAAATGATTCGTTTACTTGAGTAAGGTGAAATAACGCATACAAACTTTTCATGATAATAAATCATAAAGTTTCATTTTAGTACGCCTATTTAATTGTCAACAATAGGATCATATTGATAATTAGTTGAATAATACGTTCAACTTTAGAATCCTTATAGGGATTCTGCCTTTACCATATATCATAACAATAATTTGGTAATTTGAAATTCAATTCTTAACATTGTGCGTAGCCGCTTATGGTCCCATAAATATACCGAAGACGTAGTATCAGTACATACAATTATACATTGCTGGACGGAATCATGTAAGTAGTTGGAAACTGCTAGGTCCTCTAGATTATCGTTACCAATGGTTGAAGAGATGTTGGGTTACAAGAGTGGGACTCACTAGCAGTGATGTGCAGATACATTCAACATTTGTTTTTCCTCACATCCTTTATTCTAAAATTTTATGTTATACCTTTTATTCCGCGAATTATTTCTTTCTCAAATCATATGGTCTACAGAACCACTGACACTGCTACTATTTATAACATTGACATGTTTCCTAAAACTGTTTCGTTGTCTTTATATGTTGTAGTGGCCTGAAACAATACACATTTTAATCAATCGACAGCAATGCAGAACTTCGTACGTACGTACGTCAGTTCAAGTTGCCATACCACATTAGCACAAAGACATAACGGTCGATTCTAATCCCATAGCGGTAAAGGTAGTGAACGTATTAGCAGTAATCGGAGAGATTAGGGTTCGAGGATATTATTCAAGAAGTAGAATCTAGTGAAATCAACTTAAAACGAAAAACATAAAGGTAATGAAGAATTAAAAGGTTTCGGATTTAAGAGAACATAAAGAATGGATGCGCCTGCATCATTGCAAATGGTTCCAAGCCATGTCACTCAGGGTCTCTAACCATCGATTATTATCATCTCGCGGGCCTCAACCAGGTAGTCGACACCTACCAACATGGCTCAGTCCACTTGTCAATGACTTCATGCATTTCTTCCATGTTTTGGTTTGGTCGCCCTTAGCTTTCGTCCAACCTATTCCTACATCACAAAACAAAGCTCGACGAGGCAGACAATGGTTAGGCATATGTAACACATGTCCCAACCACCTCAACTGATGATGTTTCACTACTTCACCTACTGACTTGCCACCTTTACCTAGGATCCAATACACATATGAACCAGACTATACGCTTTCTATGCTGCACTTAGTTGCATTCATAACTTGGGTTAACAATTTTACTGTTCAAAAACTACATTTAAAAAAAAAGGAATTCGGTCAATGTATCGAATTTGAAATCCAATAGTAATTGCAATTTTTTTCGCTAATTTAGTAGAGAAGAAAATATTTCTTTTTGCTAACCCAACAGTGAAGCTTGATTCAGTAGTAATGAATGAATCAATACAATTATCTGATACGAATGATAAAAGCGTTCACAATAATTAGGCACGACATTAGAGGGAGGGTGAGGGAGGGCATTAAATGATTACTTCTGTTCGACCATAACTCTTGATTGCTATAACTTAATTATCCAATGTTCATGCTGTTAATTTAAACCAAATTTAATACTAATAAATGATAGTTTATTGTACTGAGAAGTGAAAATCACCTACGATTTTGCCGATATGACGTTACAACACATAAATATAGACAAACACACACACATACACACAGGCGCGCGTGAAAAAACGAATGTCCTCCTCCTTTCTACTTCTATCAAACAAGATATAATTTCCTCCCAATATGGATGGACTCTTCTATAAATCAATATCAGTAGATCAATAATAGGCAAGTTAAGAGGATGGATTAAAGAGTAAATTTTTTGCGAAAAACAAATAAAAAAAAAGCAAAGAGGTGAGTGAATGAATACAAGTAGAATTCTATTATTATTATTCTAGAATCGTTTTAATGCTTGATGATCAAAGTTAGGTCATTTGATTTAATCAATAATAATAACATAAAGATCATTCATTTTAAATTGACTAAAACAGGTTCTTTTTTTTCTTGAAAAAAAAAACAAAAACAATTTTCTTTTAGAATGAATTTTGCAAAAAAATAATTAGTTTTCTAAATTTTATTGAAATATAACTT